ACACACACATACACACACATAGTCACAAATCAATTAATATGTATTTGCCATACACCCTGCCTTGAATTAGATGGGTTCATGAAACATCTCGGTAATATAAAAATAAACATGAATATAGAAACATTGACAATAAAATAATCTTTTTTTAATAATTATTTTTTTGGTTAAGATTAGGGACCTGGTGCAGGTGAGATGTCGATGGTGTGGAAGTGGGGAGTGTAGGAGAGCCCCTTTCCTCTTAGTTATGGGACTCACTGAAACCAGAAAAGAATTTAGAAAAACAAAGGTGGGGAATGTCGGGGGGGGGGGGGGGGGGGGGGAGGGGGAGGGACTATCTTTTTAAAAGATTAATTGTGTCTGCTTCGAAAGGGGAGATTGGGAAGGGTGGGGGTGCAGTATAGATCTATCTATTCATAAAGGAAAGTTAAGTGGCAGGGAAAAAAGCTAGTTCTTCTCTTCTTGGCCATCCCCTGCTAGGTCTCAGGGGCAGTCGACTGCTGATTTTTACGTATTTGACCATTTTTACGGATTTCGTAAAGTCCCTTGAACAACTTGCGCTCGGGACTTACAAATTAGTTAACTGGTACGTACCGTACGTCAGATTTCTCAAATTTGGTGCTCGTAGAACTTTGTAATTCTAAGGTAGCGAAGTGCAATGAAACTCTTCCTAAAAATAATCAACAACAAAATAAAAGCTTATCAAAACTATATATGTGGGTGGTTGGCGGGTGCTGTGGTGTGGTTTGCTTCTTCTTTCCTATCAAACATCTATCGTCCTTATCTCTCCTTCTTCTTTTTATGTTTGTTACTCTCTTGTAACACATCTAATCTTCTGGCGCTCATTTGACTTTATGCGTTGTGAGCGCCTTAAAACCTCTACTGAAACTAAACGCAAACTAAAAACTATATTTTGGACCTTTTTCAGAGCCTCCATTGGTCAGATCTGATCGCTAGCACGGACAAGCAGCAGGCCGGCCAGTTGACCTCTATCTCGGACACGGAGCGCAAGCGGCGCGAGGCAGTCTGGGAACTGTTCAAGTCCGAGTGTGTTTTCCTCATTGATCATCTCATGGTGCTCAAACACGTGAGTCAAGGCGCTGGTTTGGTGGTGGTGGTCGTTGTTGTTGATGGTGGTGGTGGTGTTTGTTGTGGTAGTGTTGTTGCTGTTGTTGTTGTTGTTGTTGTTGTTGTTGTTGTTGTTGTTGTTGTTGTTGTTG